ATTTCATCCAGTGTGGGAACACAGGAAGGAGTTAACTCAGCTTGGGAAGGGGAAGAAGGCTTCCCTGAGGAGGAAATCTTTTAAGTAGGGGTGAAAATGAGTAGGAATTAACTGCAAAAGGTAAATGCTACATGTACAAGGAAAGCCCAGACAGGTACTTTCAAGGAACTAAAAGCAGGTGTGGGTGCTGGAACCTAAGGGACGAGGAGATTGAAAAGGTGAGGCCGGAAAGGCAGACATGGGCAGGAGCATGCTGCGCCTCGGAAGGTCATGTAGAAGATTTCTGGGCTTTATTCTGAGAACAACAGGCCTTGAACAGCATGTTCCAAGACACTTTAAGTCAGGATCATGGCCTACCCGGGGAGGAATGGGAGAAGCAATTATGAAATCAGAAAAAATTCTAGTTTTATTTCAACTGAAACATATTCTATATCCCTATCACACTTCCTTGAGTGTGTGTTCTCATCTGAAGTCAAGCTGAAAAAGGAAAGTATGTGAATTAACAAATACAGCCTTTTTAGTTGGGCCACTTGGCTTGGACGGGAGGTAGTGTAAGTAGATGAATGCCTCTGCACCTGTAAACACTTGAGGGAATATGGGCTTGTTCTACATTTTCTAAGAGCACAACATTCCATACAAGAACAATCCAATAAAAAGCTCCATTTCACTGTCACTGGCCATGAATTGGTGCTATTCTTGAAGTTAAATCTTCGGTCTCCTCCCCTTTCCCATAAGGCCTTTAATAGGGGAAAATATTTTGAGAATATATGAGCAAAATTTTTCCAAGGGTTGTTTTAATCCCAGTTGCTTTTTATTCTCATCTTGTCTACATCAGGCGATGAATTTCAAAAGGCAGTCACAACTTTATTTCCTCTAAAATTACATTTATATCAAGGATAAAATTTAAAGAAGGTAGGGTGACAAGGTTATTAATAAAAGAATAGCTGGAATTTTGGAGCAATTTCTGTGTTCAAGGTATTGTGTTGGACACCTTAAAATAAATTATCTCATTTAATCCTAATAAAGACTTTGAAGGGTGCATCTCATTCACAGATAATGAAACGGAGGCTTACGGCTTCCCTGCAATATATACACCTTAGACCTGTACTGCCCAATATGGTAGCCTGCAGCCACACGTGACTTCTGAGCACCTGAAATATATCTGAATTAAAATGTGCTGTGAGTGTAAATTACACACCAGATTTTGGAAAATTTAGAATAAAAAGGAAAGTAAGATATCTCAATTTTTGAATATTGGTTACACATTAAAATGGCAAATAGTACATTAAAAAATGCCTTATTAACTTTATCTGCTATAATTTAAAAAAATAAGCTACTAGAAATTTTTAAATTACGTATGTGGCTCACATTATACTTGTATGGAACAATGCCACCCTAGACCAAAAGCTGGGTATTGAATTTGCCAGTAAATAACAAGTTCAAAGCCAGCCTGGTATAGAAGAAGAGTACATGGATTGTAACAGATCTTGGTTTAAATCCTTCCATCAGTGACTGGTCTTGGGTAAAATACCAAATCTCTCTGCACTTCACTTTTGTCACTGGCATTATGGTGATATTAAATACCCCCAAACAACTGTTGTAATATGTAAAGCAGCTAGTGGGCAGAGAGGAGGGAATAATTACTGAATACTTCCTATAGCAACTGCTTAATTTAAAAACTGATTCCCAAAAAGAACAGAAAATTTACTTATTTGAAAATCATGTTTTTTTGTTTTGTTTTGTTTTAAAGATTTTATTTATTTATTTGACAGAGAGAGACACAGCGAGAGAGGGAACACAGGCAGGGGGAGTGAGAGAGAGAGAAGCAGGCTTCCCGCTGAGCAGGGAGCCCGATGCGGGGCTCGATCCCAGGACCCTGGGATCTTGACCTGAGCCGAAGGCAGACGCTTAACGACTGAGCCACCCAGGTGCCCCGAAAATCATGTTTTATTCTCAAGTGGGAGGGGTTAAATTACTAGCACATTTAATGCTTACTTTAGCATCATATAGGCATTATCTATTATCTTCTAATATACATAATATACACAGATCCTCTCTTTCTATGTAAGTTATTTATAATATGTTATAGGCTGGGAGGCCAGATGATAAAATTAGGGTGAGGTATATAATGTCAGAACACAGAAGGGCCCAAGGGGTCCTTACGGATATGATGGATGAATTCCAGTGAAAAGAGTTTATGAACTTGACGTCAGCTGACCCATGGTTTTTTTACATCAAGAACTGAGACTAGTGAGTAAAATGACACCTAGGCAAGTAGAATTTTACTTTTTTTTTTTTGCACCTTGGTTGTGGTGCAAACAAATAGTTTCACCATACCAGGTTTAGATTAGCCCACTATTAGTAATCTCCACTAAATCATAAGAAACTACAAAATCATGTGGACTAAACTATCTGAGGATATTTTGCCATATTCTGTCCCCTAGGCTTTTGTCAAGAAGTTTGCCCTTTTATCAATGTTTGAATTATATGTATACACTTAAATGTGAAGTTTGGAGCAGCTGGGGCATTCACTTTATTATTTGATGTATGTATATGGCTTAAGATTGACACGTGACAATGTATTAGACTGCCCTGTTCTGTATTTTTTTTTTTTTAGTAGTATGGGGGGTGGCGTACTAATTAAGGATTTCAGTCACTGCAATGTAGCCCCTTAAGTATACACTTATTAAATTTAGCACCAAAACTGCTCATTTGTTATCTACAGCAATTAACTTTAAGAAAATGAGACTGGAGAAGTAAAAAACTATCAGATTTACAGATCTTAGAACGGCAACAGAGACCATGAAAATATTCATTTTATTCTAGTTTGAGTTTTAGCAAGAAATAATATACAAAATTTTATTTTAGCTATTAAAGTGTATGCGCAATGAGTTAAAGGGGGATGGGGACAGGGCATCCCCTTTGATCATATGTTGCATTAAAAATCCACCTCTTGTAATGAATTTTTGAGTACCTACTGAGTACACATGACTTGGTCTTTGCTCTTTCAAAATAAGTGACTGACTTACAACGTGATTGTGTCTACAGTTCACTTACAACTATCTTTCAGTAAATGTCTTCAAATTTAGGGCTAAAGCTAGAGTTAGGTAGAAAAAAAAATTACACTATATCAAAATTATTAACAATTATTAGCTAATAAGAATCACACAGAACAATAATGTGCAACTAGTAATTAGAAAAATTTGCTAAAACTTTGAACTGAGATATTATTACATTTTTGATGCTTGAAATTATAGGAAAATATATACTCATATTTAAGAGAAAACAAGTATTTTAAGCCATTTAAGCTACAAGCCATATTTTCAAAATGCACACTGTAAAAAAAAAAGAGTTTATATCAGGAAAGAGCTTGTTTGCATTAACTTTAAATTAGCTAATACTTGAGTTACACCTTTGAAGAAACTTCAGTTTTGTTTCCAGGAATGCTTTTTTCCCTTTCTTTCTTTTTTTTTTTTTTTGAGGGGGTAAGGCAGTTGGATTAAAAAAAAAGTTAAGCCGCATTCTTTAACGTAAATGGCATATCTGGGCTCCTATATGCTAATAACTCTCTCAACCTCACTGAACTGTTAGGTCGTCTTCAAATAATTTAATGCCTTTAAAGTTTCGTCTTAATTGCACAGTTCATTTTTGTAAAACGCCTTGGCACCACTCAGTCTTTTAAGAGAGGAGAAAGGTGTCTTTCCTCTGGACTTGACATTTTTACCATATATGTGTGAGAAATTTTGCTGTCAAATATTGCCAAGGTAGATTTTTTTGTTGTTGTTCAATCTGAAAATGTCTCCACTATGCCTGCAGAGCTCCCCTCTTCCCAACACAAACCTACCCAACCCTTTCTCCCACTGCAAGTTTTAAACTTTGTTTCCTTTGGGGTTCTGCACAAGTGCTACTAATAATATCCAAGAGACAAAGAGCTGTGCTGTAGGTTCACGGGATGCCAAATTTGAGTTGTGAAACAAAGCACTCAAATTTGAGATTCAAGATGATGGTGGTGGTGATGCTGGCAAAAAAAAAAAAAAATTATTACAGAGCATGAGACCCCCAGAGCCATCTCCCCAGACAGCTCCCCCTGTCCACGGCCACCCAGAGCACGGGGGAGTTCTGGCCCCGGGACGTCGGCGGCCGGCAGCACCGCGAAGCCCCCTGCCCGCTCCCCCCGGCCCCCTCACCGCTTCACTCGGATGATCTGGTCCCGCATGGGCTTGATGTCCTGGAAGCTCTGCTGGTTGACGAGGCTGTAGACGAGGATGAAGCCCTGGCCGTTCTTGATGTACAGGTCCCGCATGGACGCGAACTGCTCGGTGCCCGCCGTGTCCAGGATCTCCAGCACCGACGGCGACGAGTCCACCTC